CTTGGTTATACCTGCCTAGTCTCAGAGTTTTCTCAGGACCAAGTGGCTTCCCAGGCAACACTTGTCAAGGCAAATATATTAGCTGCCTCCCCTGGGAGAAAGACTAAAAGATTCGGCAAACACTAGACAGATTGTGAGACAAGGGAAGGAAGAGGCTGGGGAAGGAGCTATGTGAGGGAAGAAGGGCTTGAGAAGCTCCTATGTACAGGATCAATGATGGTCTAGAAAAGACCTGAGAAGACCTTATAGCCTTTCATCTCTGACTGACGTTTAGACCCTGGGCAAGATGAAAGTGAAGGCTAAGGTAGAGTTGTAAATTACCTGGCTAAGCCTTGAAGAAGTGATCCACTCCAAGCCAATCTGCAAAGACTGGGAGAATGACTTTTAGTTTTATTTTTTGGTTTGAGATATTTAAGGAAATGTCTGTCAAATCATTAGCTGGTGGAACAGACTTCAGTGTGACACACAGAGGCCAATACAATTTTTAAAGAAATGGTTTAGAAAAGTTATTAAACACAATAAGCAACAATAAATTCTGGGGTAGGGGAGAAGATCTGATTTCCAGAGTTATTATAATAGTCAAGATAGCCAATTTTCAACAATGGAAAAATTACTAGGCATGCAAGGAAATTAGAAAAAAATTGATGAAAACTATCCTTGAGGAAGCTCAGACTTTGGACTTAGACTTTAAGTCAACTGTCCCCTACCTAACCTGGGCCCTGTCTCTCTCTCCCACCTTGCTTTGTATCACTGCATTATCATCTGTCTCACTGGCCATGTTGGTGTTCTTCATAACACCAAGGGTTGCTCCTACAACATGGTGTGCTCCTTCTGGAATGCTCTTCTTCCACTGTTCTGCATAGCTCACTCTGCATATTCGATCTGTCTTCTTTTCTGCCTCCTCAGTCACCTTTCTCGATGACCTTATCTAAAATAGCCATGCGCTTCTCAACTCCCTACAATTTCTGTTACCTTTCATTGTGCCACCATACTCAAATTTCTCTGATTAGTATGGATGGAAATCTTTCTAGAGCCTATGTTTTAAATTTTTATTTTTATTAGTACATGTTTGCAGTACACAATAACTGCATTCACTGTGAGGAGCTGGCACATGTAATAAGACACCTTAATTCTTTCTATGTCCTCTTTCTCTCCTCTCCTCTCCTCTCACACTGGTCACCTTCACATTTCCAAAAGATCTAACTCCCTGTTTCCTATTATCTATCTTATTTTGCTTTTTAATTTCTTTATACTTTGGGTTTCTCGCATAAGAGAAACCATGTGATATTTAAGCTTGTGCGTCTGACTTATTTCACTTAACATTATGTCTTAAGGTGCATCCATTTTCCTACAAATGACCCAAGTTTATCCTTCTTTATAGAAGAGTCTAGAACCTCTTATATGCATGTTTTGCTTTCTCAATAATCCACTTTCTTTTCCTCCACAAAATACTATAATAAACTCTCTAAAATTTTCTGAGCCATTAGAGCCTGGTAATAAGAACATTCTTCCTGAAGCCAGGTGACTTAGATTCAAAACCTGGCTTTTCCATTCATCAGATGGGCAGGTTAACATTCTTTACCTCAGTTTCTTTACCTACAAATAGGGATAATATTAGTACTTGCCCATAGGATTATTGTAATGATTAAATGAGTTAATACATATAATGTACTTATCATACTGTCTTGTATATAGTACTGCTTAGAAAATGTAAGCTGCTGAGGCTACAACTACAATTACAAGTATTATTATGGATATATATGCAGACATATACATATACACACACCTTAAGCTCACTGGAAAGATCTTACATTTTTTTGAGACAGGGTCTTGCTATGTATACCAGGCTGGCCTTGAACTCATGGCAATCATCCTGCATCAGTCTCCTGAAAGCTGGTATTACAAGGCATACACCACTATGCCCAATGAAGATCTTAAATTATAATATGATTATACACAGTGTATGCCTACAACACAGTGATATCTTTTAAAAGAGTATAGGGTTATTGGCTTGTACATAAAATAGTCCCAGGCTGATCCGCTAGTGTGCTCTTACATGGTGTTTTATGGTTTTTATATTTTCCTGTGTGAAATCTCTAACTTCACTTCTCATGGTTGCTGGTCATTTTTCATATCTATAGCAGCCTCTTTCCATTCTTCTATTTTTTAGGTGGGATAATCCACATTTGTTGGACATATAAGAGCTACCATTTTCCTATTTTCTAAACTAAGTTGAAAAAGCTCTCCTATGAATAGAGAGAAGAAATTTGAGTTGATGGATACCTCTTTTGGCTATTCAGAGATTTTTTTCTATTTCCTATTTCTTAGATAAATGTAAGAAGTTATCAGAAAGTTAACCATCTGGGATGATAGATGTAATAACAATTTTATATGTATATACAGATGTTAAAATTAGCAAGCCTAGGAACTGAGTTCCAGTAAATATTCATTATATTCCCACGATATGCTAGATACGTACTGAGGGAATGAAAGTGAAACAAAAATATGGTCCTGAACTTCTTAAAGCTTGCAATATCAAGGGAGAGATTAAATATAAACAAATAATGCCAAGATAATATGGTAAAGATATCAAAGATTTTCTAAGCAGGTACTATGAGTGCCTAGAGGAAAGGCCCTTAGCCCAGTGGCTGGCGGGTGGGCATCAGGGAATCTCCTGATGAAGATCATGTGAACTGAGCCTTGATGACAGCCAGGTAAAGAAAGGTTGGATGGAAACAGGGGCGCTCCTGGGGTAGGAAGCAGCATAATGCTTTTGTGAGAATACATGGCTGTCTGTAAAAAGAATAGTTTGATATTGCTATCATAAGAAAAGAGAGAGATGGGAAATGGTGAGAAATTTTAGAGGACAGGAAGAGTGTATAGGAATCAGATCTGAAAGGTCTTCACATGTCTGTCATGCTGAGAAGCTTGGATGTTACTTAAAATATAGGAGCCATGAAAGAGTTAAAAGCATTATAGCACAGCAATATATGAATATTCATGTTTATAGCAGCACAATTTGTAATAGAAGTCTTGGAATCAGCCCAGATGCCCATCAACGAATGAATGGATAAAAAAAAAAAATGTGTTTTTTTATACAATAAAGTACTAGTCTGCCATAAAGAAGGATAAACTTGAGACATTTTTAGGTAAATGGATGCACTTCAAGACCATAATTTTAAAAGAAATAAATTGGATACACATGTTTAAATATTGCATTGTTTCTCTGGTGTGAGAAATCAAAAGTCCAAATAAGGGCCAAATGGATGACAGATATTGGAAAGTAGGAAGAAAAGGTTCAAATAGGAAGAGTAACAGGTGGGGGGAGGGAAGGAAGGGAAAAGGAAAAAAAGACTAGAAAAAAATGGAAACAAAGCTTTGGTAAATAAGGAGGAGAAGAAAGGTTGAGGGGAGGGGAGGGGAATGGGGGAAAAAAAGAAATCAAGATACATCACGTACAGATACAAATTCCCTATGATGAATGTGCTCATTATGTATATAAAAAGTGTACCAATAAAATTAATTTTAAAATAAAACATAGGAGCCATTATGAAATGTTTGAGAAAAATGGCAATCTTTAGATTTTCTTTTTAAATGTACAACTCTGATAGCAGGATTGAAGAAAGAACAAAACTAGCAAAAAAGGAGCAAGAGAGACCAGTTAGGCAGTTGCTATAATTAATAAGCTAGAGATAGGAGGGCATGAAAGGAGGCAAAGCAGCAGTGAGGGTCCCAGTAGCATCTGGAAGATAAAATTAGGAGGCTCTGTGACTTAGCAGAGGGGAACTCAAGGATGACTGCATGATTTTGTGCCTCGAGTTACTGGGTAGATGATAATGCAGTTAACCAAGAGAGGAATAGTTGTGTATTTTGAATTTCGTGTTTTTGGTGGTAGGTGCATAGGAAGGTAAAGTTGTGAGTTTAGGTTGAGACATATTAAGTTTGAGGTACTCACAGGAGAAGTCAGAACTGGAGGTAGAACTTTTAGAGTAACACACAGATTCATGAAAGCAGATGGAAGCTCTGAGGGAAATGTGTGAAAGAGAAGAGCCAGCTCAAGGGCAGCGTGCTTAAAGAGGGGCAGCAGTCAATGGTCTGTGAGAGAAACTGGGACTACAGGAAAAGAACAGCACCGTGGAACCCAGCTGTGAGTTTCAGACCTAGTGACCAAGGGCGTATAGCACACTCATCAGCTATATTTCCGGAGCACTCACTATAGAAGGCACTGTGCTGTTCCACATACCGTATCTCATTGAATCCATCCTCCACAAGCTACAGTTGATGAGTCTGGCGTTCAAGAGGCCCTGTTACCTACCCAGGGTCATGGGGTGAGCTAGGAGAAATAGGATCTAAACCCGGGTCTGGTGCATTACAAAGCCCATGTTGTTAACTGCTGGAGTGAAAGAATTCTTCAGTGTGCAATTTAATATTATCATAATAAGGACAGCTATATATTGCTTTCCCAAGAAGCATATCCTAAAAGCTAATAATGTAAAAGGAATATTTAATATATAAATATTAAATATGAGGTTATTCATATATGATCACTTCATAACATCAAACTGGATTACTACAGTGACAGTTCTTCATAATTTTTGCATTTCATCAACACCACACTGGTCAACTTAGGGAAACAACAAAGCACAGCACACGGCACAGCGCTCCACTGACTGGAGCACAGTTCCAACAGTGCCCAAAGGAAAGGCCTAGTTAGAGCAGCTGGAGTTCTTCAGAGGAAAACTAAGTGCCCCTGTCCTGGACACTTACGCCTACTCAGCTTTCTTGAAAATTGACAAAGGAGAACCAGAGAAGGAAGGTAGAGTTTAGCACAAACCTACCACAAGGGTAGGAAAATTCATTAAAATACACATTCTATGGGAGGTTTATTTTAGATGATAAATTATTTGCCATTTAAAGACAGAAGAAGAAAGTAAGGTTTCTATTATAAAAGTTGTAATTTTCCAGTTTCCCACTAGAGGAAGCAATAGCATTACTCTTACCATTTGGTGGATAAAAGACAGCATATTCTTCTAATCCTAGTTTTCCTGAAAGTAAAGATAACAGAGGATGTCAATACGATAAAATAAAATAAATTATTTTAAATTATGCACTAATAATGGCATTTAAAAAACTATTACAGCTCAATTTTATTTCATTTCATGATATGGAACAAATTTGAAAAGCTGCCAAGCCAATTTTCTGATATTAGCAAATCCTTTCATGAATTAAAATCAATAATATACACCAAAGTACAAGGGACAGGATACAAAATAAGAAAAAAGCAAACACATCCAAACTCCTTAAGAATTTAAGGAGAATCTACTTATGAACATAGAATTGTTTTGCTAAATATAAATATAAATTATTTTAAACTATTCATTGAAACAAGCCCTACGTGTTGCAATATCTCGTTAGTTTACATTTTAATGGCATCTGCTTAAAAGATAAAAATTAAATGTCTTTAACTGTATGGTGATCATATTTTCCAAACCCCAACGTAGTTCATATGATCAGAGAATGGGGCTAAATATTTGAAATCAGAATTGTCCTAGAAAAGTAAAGTATATTCACTATAACCAAATATTTAACTGACTTTAAATAGCACTTTCCCTCAAAAATTTCAAGGTTCTTAGCTTTTCCCACCTTCCACAGAATATCTTTAGGTAGCTTTTATCTTGACAGTTTTTCTAACACTTTTGAGTCTATTGAAAAGACATTCATTCTTGCACAGGGTTTTAAAGTAAATTTTTTAAATTAAAAAGTTCTTTTGTTATTGTTAAGAGTAGTGGCAGAGGGGAGAGGAAGAATAAAAAGTGTGAGTGGTTTAGGTTAAGAGTGAAAACAACAGGGACCAATCCTTGTGTAAGGAGAGATGGAATAATGAAAAACAGACAAATACATAAACTGATTACTCAACAAACAAAATAAACATAGGCTATGGTCCCCCAACTATGTGGTTTGTAATCTAAACCGTGAAACCTTAGAGTTTGCTAACTCTTTTTCTCTTTAACAGATTTTAACAGTGAGATACAAGCTAGTTTTTTGAGAATCTATACATTTTTAGGGTGGAGGAAAGAGGAAGCCTTCCACAGAAGAAAATACACAGAGACTAAAATGAATATGGCATATTGTGGAATAATCAAGCAAGCAAAGTTAGCTAGGTTAATTAACACTATATTAACCGATGGAGGGCCTTATCTTGGATGAGTTTATAGGCGAGCCCAAACAGTTGATTAAATTCCACAAGCAGTTTTTCAGGAAGTTTTTGTAAGTTCATTTTAGAAGCAATGGAACTAAGAGAGCCCTAATTTGGGTGGAGCCTGATTTAACACAAGGTGATATGGCCCCCATAGGGCAGAAGTTGGAGCAATGGCAATCAGGCAGATAGTTCAGACTCAGGAAATACAGAAGAAATGATTCCTTTCTTCATGGAAATGGCAGAAGGAATATACACAGTGATGGCAAACCTTTTAGAGCTTTCAATGATAACAAACAGCCAGCTGCTACATGTGTGGCCATAGGTTTGCCACCACTGGATAGGGTAAGAGTTTTCAGGGCTGGTATTCACTACTTGATGGAAAAAAGTTGAGAGGGCTGTCAGCTGGTTAGTTGCTTTCAGGTGATGCCAGGAGAAGAGGCACTAAAATAGAAATTAGAGTGCTAACACCACATAAATTACATCAAAATTTTAAGTGTGGCAGAACATTTTGAGAAAAGAAATATAAAAAGTTTAAGAAATTAAAAAAATCAAATCCATGTGATACACTCATAGTTAGAAAGTAAAAGTCAACGGAAATGACTAAAACAGCAATAGAGACAGCCAACAGGGAAGACAAAAAGGTAACCTGAATTCTGCTTCTTGGAAGCATTTAACTGTGATTTGTGATAAGTTGCTTGGGCACTGATATAAGTTGAGGGGGGGAAAGGATAGTTACAGTCATCTGAGAGAAATCTTAATTACAATTTTACAATTAAAAAATAGATAACACCAATACAAGCTATAAAATAAACATACTTGGCATTATTATGTAAGTCTCAAGTAATACCTTCTTAGCATTAGTAAAATATTACCTCTTATGTATGATTTCGGTGGTGAAGCACTGTTGTATGCAAAGTGACCCAATACAGACGTATCCCGGGAAAAGCAAAGTAATACCTAGATATAATATTAGGAAAAATAAGCAATTAAAACTATTATAAAATCAGATAATGTGTTGCTGTTTCCTACTCAGGAGGTACTGAGGCAGTGGAGGGGTCAAGTTCAGCACTGGGCCTTGCAATGGGAGATTGTTCTTTATTGGTATGCCCACATTAACTGTTAAGGATGGGGTGCCAAGTGTAGATGGCTAACGTTCTTCCAAAAATATCTCATTGTTTGCTACCTGAACTTTGAACAACAGGAAGTACAAGTTGCTAAGTACCAGTTGATTCTTTTCTATGTTTTATCTGGAAATAAGGAAAACCTAGGTCACAGTGGTGGGAAACCTATGGCACACATGCCACAGTGGGCTGTCTGTATCAGTGAAAGCTCTAAAAGGTTTGCCTTCACCAAGCTAGAAGTTTAACACATTGTACAGGGCAGATCCTAGGTAGCCAGAGTGGCACACAACAATTTGGGAAGTAAAGTGGAACTGGACTCATTGCTGAGGTGCAGCAGGCAGGTGGGACATGTCAGGAATGGAGCGAAGGTGACATGATATTTAGAAGGGTTGCCCAATACAGGATAGCAGCTGCTTGTCCTGATCTGCAGGTAGAATGTGGCAACTCTCCCTGGAGATGAAAATAGGTAGGGGAGACTCAGGATCAAGGATACCCAGTAGGAGAAACTGGATTGCTGACGCTAGCCTGGAATTTAGGGGCAGGAGTCCAATCCCCAGGAGAACAAATAATGACAAGAAATCTGGGTCCTGGTATTAGAAGACTTGGGATTCTTAAGATGTTACCATGAGAAGAATTCATGACTGGAAAAGGCAAAACAGAGGCATAGAGTTAGGATTGGGGTTGCAGCAAGAATGAATAGAGAATGGAATGCTTGCGTCTAAGACACAAGAAAGAGGGGCCCAGTTTGGTTAGAAGGATAGACATAGAGATTTGTAATTAGTCAGGCTCAGTGGTAGACAGTGTGTACCAGTGACCCTGCCACACCACTGATTTACTTTTATTATGTTTCAAAAAATACACAAGTGATACTTTATGATAAAAAATTAGAAATGTGGATGATAAAAAAGGGAGAAAACATTCAGAATCACACCACTGTTAATATGAAGATGTATATCATTCCAGACTGCTTTTATGCACACATATATAATTGTCAAACAAAAGGACTATACTTTTAGAACTTATTTTCTCTCAGTAATATAAAATAAATACTCCCCAGGTACACTTTGCAGAATATAACATTGCATGGATGAATAATTATTTAAGCTGTCTTATTGATCATTTAATTATTTCTACTTTACCCCAATTATAAGCAATGCTGTAATGAACTTCCTTATGTACAACTTTAGTTACTGTATTTATATTCCTAAAACTGCACTATCTGTCTGATCAAATGCTACAGACATTTAGATGTTGCCAAATACATGTATTTACATGTTGCTTAATACATGTTGGCAAATTGGCCTCAAGAGAGATGGAGATTTGGTTTATGTTTTTTGTTTGCTGACATATCCATTTACTCTTTTATCAGAACAGGTTATTATCAACTTATAGGTAAAAAATGGTATCTTGCTTTAATAATTTGTAGTGCTTTTTTTTGGTATTGGGGATTGAACTCAGGACCTTGGGCTTGTGAGGCAGGTGGCAGCACCACTGAGCTAAATCCCCAGTCCTGTAGTGCTTTAATTACTAGTGA